CTGGTGAGCAGAGGGTCAGGGCTGTGCACTGCCCCCAGCCAGTATCATGGCGCTGCGGGGTGCGGGAGCCAGGGGGCACACAGGGCCCACACTGATGTCCCGAGGGCCAGCGCCAGCAGGGCCCAGAGCAGGGCAGCGGGGGTACAGGGTCCTGGCTGGCAGGGGCTCTATGGTGCCAGTCCAGCTCCCCACTCTTCCTGCTGGTGCAGCCCAGCCCGACTCCACAGACCTCTGCCAGCCTGTGCCCTGATCTGGGTCCTGCCAGTGCTGGCCCTGGGACATTGGTCCCAAGACATTGGGACATTTATCCCAAGATGGTGACCGGGGGGGGCACCTGTCAAGGGGTGGGGCTACCCATGCGGCCCTCGACAGCTTACTAAAACTGGGTAAGGGCCCTCTGCCCAAAATAATTGCCTGTCCTTGGGCTGAATCCAGTCTGTGAAGAGGTCCAGCCTGGCCTAGGAGAGCATGGGAACAGATGGCATGCAGCTGTGCTTATCCACCTGTCCCCTCCAGTGCACCCTGCTCCACAGCCCTCTTTGCTGTTCTCTCATGTCTGCGCATAGTTTTGCTGTAGAGGGGTTATGTATCTGCACCAAGGGTAAGTGCAAGTGTCTTGAGCTCTCTGTGTGGCACCACGGAGATGCTCTGGCCAGAAACCAGAGTGTCTCTCCTGGAGGACTGACTCCCTGCTGGCTGCAGGCATGGTCTGGGATCAAGCCTTGCCCCACTGTTCTGCGGAGTGGTTCTTTTTTTGACCCCTGGATATCCAGGGGTCTGATTTTGTCCCTGCGCTGCAAGTTTGCAGCGTGGGGAACATTTTTTCGTTCCTGCATGTGCCTCTTGATCCATCTCAAAGGGGTTTGAGATGGGGCAAGAGGCATATGCACACTCATCTGGATGCACCCCATGTGTTCCCAAGCACAACCTAAACATATATTCCTCTTTGCATACCCTAAATTTGAAACTGTACCAATAAAGACACTATGAAGTGTCCTTCCATAGTTATACCTGAAACCCCAATCTCTGAGAATAGTTACTAGGGAGACCCAGCATCTCTAAACCAATGATGATGAATGTCAGGGAGGGTAATGAATGGAGGATAGATCAGTGCAGATATACCCAGTTCAGCGCTCTCCTTCTAAAGCATCAACTCCTGCCACAGTTGAAGACAAGGTACTGGGCCAGATGGACCATTTGTCTGACCAAGTATGGCACTTCTTTCTTTTGTTCTTATGTTCTTAAGCCTGGAGTAACCCTACTGGCAAATTTATAGGTTTGGAGTCTGCAGGTAGGAGCAGGAGGTGGGGTGTTCTTGGGAGTGATCTGGCATAGTGCACTGCCATAGTGGCATACATATTTTCTGAGTGATTTGCCCAGAGTTACAGAACAAATCAGTGAAAGATTCCCCGGCCTTGTGCTGGGTCCACTGGCTCACAATGTAGTTGTGGCTTGTTGAGAGAGCATTTTGATCAGTAATCCGCAAAGGCAGGGTAATTTCCTTGACCTTAGAAGGTTTTAATGTATAAGAATGAAGTCTTAAATCCTTTCTTTTGGGGCATTTTTTTCAATAGGATTTTTCCTTTGTTCAACTCTCCCTTCAATATTTTAGAGAAAGCATGAAAAAAGTTAGTGATTATAGACATATATTAAAAAGAAAACCTAAAATTACATAAATATGAAGGGAACAAAGAAGGGAAGAGAGAATATATGAGGGACAGATATGCACGGCAAAAATTCATTAGAAAATACTCAAGGATCAGAAATTTAAGCTTACTTGGCACAAGCCGCTAATGCACATATCCAGTGATTCAGTATAGCATCGTGTTCCATCGAGAACCTTTGGCGCCAGTTCTACAACCAGAGCTGTTCCTTTAGCCTGGCACTTCAGTGAACATGGGTTATCAGGATCATTAGAGACTGGAAGCCATTCATAAAAATGTCCCTGGTACTTGACATCATTATGAGCAGAGCACTGCTGGGCACGAAAATCTCCTGCTTCTGGAGGGCAGTCCTAATGAGGAGAAAGGGAGAAAAAGAAAAGGGTTAGGCAGTCTGTCCAAGAAGGCTCAGTACTTCATGCTGTACAGTGAAGAACGAACCTTGGCATAGACACTTCTTTTCAGTTAGAGAAACATACTGGTCAAAATACAGACATGTTTACCAATGGGGCCATCTTAAATATAGAAAGTTCAGCTGACTACTGTGCTTTCAGGGATTACTGCAGCAGTACTGAAAAGAACATTGCAAAATAATTTTCAACATAAGAAACACATTTGCTTGCCCTATTCACCATATTTGACAATCCTGAAACACTCCCAGGACGTGTCCACACATGCAAGTGTGTGCTTACAGCAGCTCAAATAGAAGCGGTACAAATCTGAGGTGGGGCTTTTTGCCTCAGCACCCATGCCAGGACATGCACTTTGTTGTTGTGCAAATTGTGCCACTTGGGGCAAAATAACCCTGCCTGGCTCCGCCTGGATCTGCAGCCAGGGGGAGCTAGAGCCTGGGGCCAGTACCTGTGCTGTCCCCAGCACTATTAAAACCTGCCCTGACCAGCAACTTAGGGCTACTTGCCCTCAGGAGCTTCTGAGGGAGGAGCCTCTGGGAGGGAGCTGGCGACAACCCTTCCTGTCGCTGTTGCTTCAACTTGGTCTCAGGAGCTTCTGGGATGGCCAGGCCCCTTTCTGCCTCTGGCTGCTGCTAGCTTGTTCTCAGAGCTTTTGGGGGTAAGCTGGTTGCACCCCTTCCTGCCTTGGGCTGCTGCTGTTACTGCCCCCCACAAGGGGGGGTGTCCTCTGCTGCATGCTGCTACCTCCTCTTAGGGAAGGGCCTGCTGCATTCCAGCACCACACCCCAGCAACACACTCTACCTTCTGCATTCCTGTTCCAGCCTGCTGCCCAGCCCGCCACCAAGCTATGGTTGGGAGACAGCCTCAGGAGGCAGCCTGCACTGCCTGTGGGCACCTCCCCCACCATCACTGCCAGAGCATAAAAGTGCCTTGCCTGCCCCAGCTGCCTTGGCAGGCCAACCCCCACCTTCACCTCTACTTTCACGAAAAGCACACCCTGAGTGGCTGAACTAGATGGCTCCTGCCATCACTGCTGCTGTTGCTGCCATCTGTTCTGCTGCTGCCCTCTCTCAGCAGAGAGGGAGATTCCCTGCTGCACCACCTTGCACCACTCAACACCACACCTGCACTGGATTACTCCCTAATACACTGATTGCTTTTGCCCTTCCACACAGCTGCCTCACTGCATCTGATCCTGCTTTGTTTCCCTGCCTGGTGCCATACTGCTGAGTGCCTAGCTGGAGGCCTGAGGGGCTCTTGGACTGATCTCCAACAAACAAAGCCCCTCCACTGCTCCAGCCATCCTTTACATCTGCCTCAGCAGTCTTCCCTATGTGTTTTTCCCCTTGTGTGGTAAGTCCTGTGGTCCACTCCCCCTGCCCTGGTGTTTGTTTTGTGGCTGAGTAAGCCAGCTCGAGTCTTCCCAGCCTCTGTGTGTGTGTGTGTGTGTTCCCCCTCCCCCACATTCCCCAAGCATAGCCTTTTTCCTGTGGGGAAGGGGAAGGGCTCCGCCCCCAAGCCTAGACCACCAATGCCTGAAGGGCCAGGTGCGCCACACCAACTGGCACAGCCACTCAGCCTGTCCATGACCCTAGTCCTGGTCCCACCAATGTAGAGGGGGAACCACAGCTATGTACAAGCAGCTGCAGGGTGACCCACAGCTGCGGAGCCTGAACAGTCCACCACTGGTCCTTCCAGCTCAGGCAACAGGGACCCCTTTCCAGCACTCTCCCATAGGCACGAGGTAAAGTGCCAACTGCCCAGGCAGGAGAACCTGCGTTTTGAGACCTGGGTGCAGGACCTGGCTCAGGTAGTGGGGGCCCCGAAGATCATGGTGACCTCCCACTTTCATGGCAAGGGAGTCTTTTTCGTTGCCTCAGAGGCTGCCGTACAAATGGTGGTGGAGAGGGGGCTCATGGTGGAGAGCGAGTACATCCCCCTCGAGCCCCTAGAAGAGCTGGGGACCAGAGTGGTCCTCAGCTCTGTCACACCTTATATCCCCAATTGGGCCCTGCTCCCCCATCTCCAAACCCTGGGGAGAGTTATCTCCTCGGTGGTGGCCCTCTCGCTGGGGTGCTGAAACCTCGGCCTGTGCCACGTGCCCTTATTCCATCACCAGGTCATGATCCAGCTGGTGGTAGGAGCACAGCTGGAGGCCGACGGCAGCCTCATAATTCCTTTTCAGGGGCCCCTAGTGAGGATTTTCTATATGCTGGGGGGGCTGCAGTGCTTCCAGTGCTATGCCCTTGCATCATGAGTGTCCCATGGGTCAGGCGGGGAGGGCATCCATAGGTCCCATTAGTAAAAGGGGTACCCCTACCACCAGCACCCCTCCCCACTCGGGTCCACTGGCACCCCAGCCACAACTACCTGTGAGGTCAGGGGACTGCGCCCTCCAACCAAATTTGGTGGAGTCTTGGGGGGGGGAAGCAGCTGGGGGAGGAGAGGGACCCCCCCTGCCCCCAGCTGTGTCCCTGCTGGAACTGCCTCATTGCCCCAGCCCTCACCTTCTACTGAAGCCTGTCCACCTGAGGACCACCCCAGGGACAGGAGGGTGAAGGACAGGCCCTCCCAGCACACTAGCTCTAGCAGGTTGCCAAAGATGGAATGTCCAGGAACCATGTATGTCTGGGATGTATCACGAGGAGAGGGTGGAGGAGAGGGACAGGCTGCAACTAGATCTAGACAGGTTATAGGGAGAACAGGATGGGATTCAATACTGACAAGTGCAAGGTACTGCAC